TATATATATATATATATATATATATATATATATAATCTTACATCATTCTTCCTTTTTGTACAATGTATGTCTTCTCCTCTCAGATGTAGTCACGGTAAAATTCCACCATCAATTCATCTGTACACCATCACCACAGTTCTTTGTGCTCTCCTTCCCCCACCCCAGTTTTGACCTCACTTACTCCCCCTCCCCTGTAAAATGTCTCTGATTTATATTTGCCTGTTAATCTTGTTTTTTAGTTTTTTATATATTTTTCCTGATTCCTTATTTGGTTCCCCTACATTCCACTTATGAATGAAACCATCCAGTAGTTTTCTTTTTGTTTCTGGCTTATTTCACTGAGCATAATTCCTTTTAGCTCCATCCATGTTGCTGAGAATGGCGTAAGTTTCTTTTTGATTGCTGAGTAATATTCCATTGTGTATATGTTGCATCTTCTCCCACCCCCACCCCCCCAGATTTTTATTCTTTGTTACTGGGTAACAAACCAGAGGTGCAGGAGCAGTGAGAGGATTTACCAGAGACAGTAGAGAGCAGAACAGGCAGATCCACGAAGTACACTGCTGAATAGAGCAGCAGGTGAGGTAGGAGAGGTCTGCTGCACCTGTGAATCACCTGTGGGCCAGGGACTGAATGCATATGAGGTGGCTGTAGCTATAACTAGCTTGCAGTGCTATGCCTTAACCCGTTGCACCACCAGGGAGGACCTACACATCTTTTTGATCCGGTCATCTACTTTTTACCATGAGATCTTAATTATTTTTTGTTTTTGTGTAGTAGTTTGGGGTAAATGTTTTGGCTCTAGTAAAAACCAAAGGTGTAGAAATTAACATGAATCATTTCAAACTGCTCCTCCTTGGTCAATGTCTGTGGTTGGCATCCATTGTTATATCTTACAGCTTACTATGCTTTTCTGTTATCAACAAAAGCCAATGATCTCACCAGCAACCCTGACTTCCTTCCTGACTTTCCTGACTTCTCTTCCTCAGTTTCATGTTCATCTACTACCAACTTTTATGTTCATCATCCCTTCTAATCTTTCAACAAAATTGCTGCTTTTTCTTGTTCCCATTAAATTTTGCACTAACAGCTTTTGTAATGATCCTTAAGAACTCTAGAGTGCATGCAGAAATGAGGTTCCCAAAGGGAGAGGGAGAGTCTGTGGTGAGGACAATGGGTGCTTTGAAGGTGGATTTGGTGTAGTGTCATAAATATGAAAATATGTAAACCTATTCTCCTAAATCATGTAGTATTGTAAACAAAATGTTCAAAATGTTTTCCTAATTCTGATAATTATTTGTCAACCTCTTACCTGCTGTTTCTTTCACTTCTTGGGAATCTGTTCTTAGGCAGTCTACAGGTCTAACATGTAACTGATGTGTCTGTCATAGCTCCAGTTCTGCCTTCTCTTGACCACTAGAACTTTTCTCAATTACTTTCTAGATATTCCTATACAGATAACTCAAAATTAGTCCAACTGAAAATCTTTCCCTCAAACCATATTTTCTTTTCTAGCTAGTTCCCATTTTCTCTCTGATTGAAAACCTCTGTGACACATTCTTCGAAATCTTTCCCTCAGGTAGTACTTCTGATTGATTAGGAATTCATCAGATTCTACTGCACAGTTTACCTATATGATCCATCCATTCCTGTCCTTGTCACTGCCAATACTCATGTTCATTGTCAATCCTCATATTCAGGACCTCATCTCTCCAAAATAATAGGAAAAGAGGACTTACTGACTTTTGTCCTTTAATGTAAAACTTTCCAATGAACCTTCCTTCTTACCACCAGAGCAAGGAATGTGTTCCTTGTAACCCCAATGGCAAGCACAGTATGTAGAACATAGAGATGCTCAATAATTACAAAGGGAATGAGTACACTGTTCTAAAACACAAACATGATCACGTTAACAACCCCCCCCCGATAAAAACCACCCTTTGAATGATACTCTGGTAGCTCTATACTAACCCAATCTCTGTTGCATGCCATTTTAAAGCCCTCTACATGTGATCTCAATGTCTCATTTTTTACTACTATGTCTATCACTCAAAGGACATGTGCTCCTGGTGTGCAATGCTAACATTTGTTTGTACTGTTAAACTGTTGCTCTTGTAGGAGTGTCCATCTTACTTCCTTTCTGAAAAAAATCTTACCAGAAAGTTTTGGTTCAAATATCACCCTCTTCTGTGAAACTTTTCCTAATAAACACTCTATAGCCCCAAATTGATCTGAATGCGCACGTTTTCTCCCATTGGTCCTTTAATACCTTTCTTATGGAATACATGGCAATTTATCTCTCATTAGAAGACATATTTGTGTCCTTGAGAAGGGCACACAAAGAT